ATATAAATTTCCCTTAAATTATAGTTGAGATTAATTGTCCTCACCATTTTAATATTCAAGATATCCTAATTTTTATTTTTCAGAATTTTTATACCCCACTACATTAACTTAATACCTTGTTACCTGTGGGGAATGATTGAAAGAAAAAAAAATTTTTTTTGAACATGAGGAATTATGGGGAATGAGAATTTTTTGAAATGATTGGTATAAGTTAAATTTCTTACCAACTAAATCCAAGTATTAAAAACTAAGAACAAATCATTAAGATCGAAGCCACAGTTCGATTAAAAGAATTTGAGTAGGAATAAATGTAATGAATGAATTAATTAATTCAGACGGCTAATGAAAGTGACAGATTAATGTAATATTCGGGGAGTAAAAGAGAATGAACTTAATGAAATTGTGAAAAAACAAGATGCTATAACATTAAAAGCTATTACAATGTCCAATCACAATTACAAAATTAGTGAAATATAATATAAATCTCATTAAAAACTTATACATCAGGTAATAAATTTAGATGTCTAAATATTAAATATTTTTAATATTAAAACATTTTAATTTTAATGTTTCTAAGGTAACATATTGCATGCTTACTGCTTTGTTTTCTTCTATTTTGAAGTTACCATTTACTTGTCCTTGAAAAAGAGGGAAATAAATTACCACTAATGATAAAACGCCTAAAATGAATGTTATTGGTGCATGTTAAGGATTTTAAACGAATCCTCCATAGATGTTAAGGGTATTTCACCTCAAATGAATAGATTTTTTTTTTTTTTTTCCATTCCTCACATTTTCCTCTGAAAAATGTATAATAACTTTCCTCTTGGATAGAGAAAGAAAGGAAAATGATATTATATAAATCAGATATTAATTTGTAGTAACATGCTGCTCCTTTTAGATACTCATATGTATCTTTTTCTTTTCTTTTCTTCCCCTTCCTCTTTAAGATTTCATATGACAATTATTAACAAATTAATCAGGACAAGATCAAATGTTAAGTAACTGAAACGAATATAATATGAAACATACAAGTTTTAGAGAGTGCTAGGATTAACCTCCTTTTTTTTTTTTCTTTTTTTTTTCAAAGTGTTCAGATTAACAATCTCAGCTCGTAGTCAATATCTTACTATTAATTGTCGTTGTTTAATTTAAATATCTTAATTTATTCTCCATTCGAATCAATGACCAATAATTATTTTTTAAAACTAAAATAAACACTTTTTAAAAGTTTTAATTGTTTTAATTATCGTTTAAAATTAAAGTATAATCACATACGTCCAGTCTACATCATAATCATATCATAAATCCATCATAAAATTTGGATCTAAAAATTTGTTATAACTATCATTATTCTATGTGTTTAGGCTCATGAGATGCTTTTATACCACAACTAAAAAAGAAGGGGTTTCTCGAGGGATATCCTTATAATTAAAACTTGAATTTTTATATTGGAGATTTTAAGTTCAAATTTTAAGATAGATAAAAAATGATAAAAAAAAATTATCTCATATTGCATAATTTATCATCTAATGTATTTAAAAAGCAATAAAAAAAGAAGGCTAACTTCTAATAACTAGTAATCAAAGTATTTGATTATATATAGATTATATAGATACAAAAATTACTATTTTTAACCAATAATCTATTAATTTAAGTGAAAAAATATTGATTATTTTTAAATAAGACACTGAATTCATATCTTTAAACAGAGAGATAGCTGTTTGGGAAGAATCCTCTTTATAGAATTTGATTTGATTAGATTTGATTTGAAATTAATTAAAACTCAATATACCTTTAGACTATCAAGAGGTTTAATAAAAAAATTACTATTTCTAAATCCTTTCCAATCTGTCAATAAAATTTCAATGACTAAACCAGTCATTCTGCTTAATTAAAAGCTATCAATTATTAGAAAAGAGACTTATTAACTTGTGGGTAGAAAAACAGAATTTCAACGAC